GGGCAAAAAGACTTCTTCGTGGTTGCCCGTGTAGCGAGACTGTACCTATACTTCTCCCTTCTTGATATTGCTCATAGCTCCATATGCTGTTCAATTGAGCCAATTGCAAGCTGCGTAATAGGTTCAGAAAAGTGGCCTATCACAAATAAAGCGAACCTATAAATCATGCAGTGCTCACACGACCGTTCTCTGTCGTTAGCGGTCGCAGGTGGCGCTTACCAATTTGAGTTTCCATTATGATTGAGGTCATGTATAAGAATAAAGCAATACAAGACACGTATAAGCATTGGGTAGGTTTGAATGCACGTAACTTAGCGTGTTTACATCGGGGATCTTAGGCAAGCGGTAGAGTATCACAAGTCAACTATATGTTAGTTGGACTCGCAAAAACATTTTGCTCTTGGCTTTGGCTAAATATTTATTGGTTGCAAAGCACTGGTAAGCAAAGGTAATTTCTGAAAAATGCCACTGGATGTTGCCGAAGCTATCGGCTAAATTTAAAAGTTATCTGCTGCGATGGTACTGTTGAAGGGTTTCAGACTTAAAGGTATTAATTGCCTGATTTGATTCTAAGCTGCGGCCTGGTGACCTTTTTTCGCATAACTAAAGTTTGATATATTACGTCGCATTGTAGTTATCGATAGTCAGCCGAGAAGTTTTTATACATCTTACCCTAATGTTTCAAAGGGATCCCATTATGTGGGCATTGGCCTTTAGGCTAGCAATAGGTTTTTGGCTTTTTGCAACAGGTAGCGATTTGTGCTTTCTCGTTTTCTATGAAATAAAGAATCGCGTTAAAAACTATAAATTGATTGCCTGCATTAGTCGTTCTTGAATACTTCATCTCTAATAGAAAAGAAATTTAGATCACTCCCAAGAGCACGCAACGGACTCCTTTATGAAATATAGCGTAGCAGTAATAAAGCTTTTCAGCACCTATAGCTGTTATATAATGTATTCGTTCAATAAAAAAAATTATAATTTTAATTCAAATATCTAAAAGTATCCTATATTGATGTTATATATTTAGAGAAACATATAACATACGAGTTTTATTGACTTCTATTAGGTACACTCAACGATTTAGAGATACACATATTGTACGCATATACATACTCAAAGTGGCATTAGACTGTATAGACTTTACAATACAGTATTGGAAATATTATAGAAATCCCGTCACAATACAATGCGGGTTCTAAGTGTGTATTCGGGGGCATCGGCTCGTCTAATATCGGTCACATAGTTGTCCGTATTTTTAAGATACGTAGTTTACCATATCTAATGGGTTTGTAGAAGCCCGATGGAAGCGACATGTCGCGAATCGCGTGACGACATGACGGTTTGAGCAACCTAGTTTCCTCTGCATATCATACTTTATCGCTCCACTGCTAAGGAATTAAGCGGCGATTTCTGCGAATACACGTTTCCAGTTTCCCATATTTTTCGTAAAGGCAAAAATACACGAAAGGGTAAAGGGCTTATTATAAGTTCTTCGATAAGAAATGGTGTGCCGGCAAGAAGATACGCGAATCTATTTCGTGTTGAATGGTGCAATTCCACCGCACATTTCAAACACGACGTTTTCAGCTGGATTTAGCTGTTCAGTGCTGCCTATGATTCGTCGTGCGCTATGGTCATTGCACAGTATGAATAGCCCTAGATATGAAAATTTGTTAATGCATTTTAGGGACGCCCACGATATGACTAAAATAGCTTCAGCTGTTACACTGCCTCCCCGTCAAACTTCATCGCTTTCATGTGCTGAGTTTCACTGTTAAACCGAGCTCCGTGGCAGATTTATGTGACCTAATGAGGGCTTGGGGTACTTGGAACCTGCTATTTTCATCTATGTAGGAGCACTTTTACAAGCTTTCTACTCCACAAATATTTTAAGGTAGGCCTCTCAACAGTTACGTCTCAAACAGATTACCTGTTTATGTCAGCCCAGTGGCCTGAAAGGTGGGGACAATTCAGAGATCCATCGTTGACCATGATCCTGTTTTTTTCCTGCTATCAAACCAAGCACGCTTTTGCTGATTCCTACCTTTGCAAGTATTTTTAATACTGCATCCTTAGTCATGAGCTCAAATGCTGCTTTGAGATTTTATGAATACAAAATGCGTGTTCTGTGCACTATGCTAGTCCAATGTTTAATATCCGCCAAGAGAGTCGACCGAGAAATGCCGCTACCATTGAGTGCTGCTTTCGAAATCCTTATTCCTCTTGGGAAATCGTAGCCACATTTTCTAAGTGTTTCCTGTAAATCAACATCAGGTCTCTCACACATGGAGAGTAACAGTATATATATATATATATGAATGAGTATAAAAAAGATCAACGTTTGTTGTTGACAATGAGCGACTACTGTGAGAGACGTCTGGCAACGTTTCTAATTGTTCTTTATTTTTACAAACTTGGCGATTCGAACTATATTTGAGTAATTTCGACAGGGCTATTCCATTTCGATCACGCAAGCCCCTCTAAAGAGCCGTCCGCTCGACTCTTCTAACGCTGCCGCACTCGAGGCACACACACAGAGCGGGATACAATTACTGTGCATATACTTACTTTAGAGCGCTTATTTAACGTCCCATCTCTAAACCTATTTATTTATTGATTCCGTTTCGCCAGACATTTTTAGGTTTGGTAGCCGGTCTTTGACGCCCTCTTCATTGTCAGATGCATTATTATGTCACCACGGTGCCTTGGACAGCTGACCCTCTGGCAAAAAAAGAAAACAGGGGTCGCTGTTTCAAGCCCCACGACTAAATAAAACAACAAGTACTTCATATTATTACGAATCTCACTTGCCAATGATGGGAACGGTATGGAGAGCACGGTGGGTGAAAGAAACATTTCACCCAAGCTCATATGAATGGGAACTTTAAAGATTTTTGCCATGTGTGATCTGGTATTGTTGTATACAAGGACAATCTTGACTTATCTATTTAGTTTTTTTTTTTGTGTTAAATAGCCTCATTCACTTTATATATTTGAGCCCTACGCCAATTCTTGTGGATCGTTTTATAGATTCCTTTAGGTATTTGTCAAACTACGAAGCCTTATTCAGCTTCACCAAACGCAAATTATTTGTTATTTTGTAAATTGACCTATATCTAAGCTAGAGCAAATTTCTCGAAGTTATCTGAGTAATAATCTGAGTAAAAATTTATGACTGTGGTTGTGAGTGGTTCCATATCAAGCAAATTATTTAAGTACAATGAAAAACCTTGTCCTTGTACGCTTCATTAGTTTGAAGAGCACACAACCTCGTATTTTGTACTCAAATGCCATAAATTCTAGACGCATCCCATCTTCTTGATCAACTAACGAGTTGTTTGGCACCCGAAGCCCTTATCGACCTCAGATGAACGATCGCGGTGCACTTTTTAGGTCCAAAATCCTATCTTTGAACTAAGCGTATTACCTCCAAACAACACTTGTTGTACACGGCAAAATTATCCCGGGCTGCTACGATAACTTTTTGATAGGCTTCGAAGATGGCTTCATGGTTTTTTTTTTATCATTTAAGTTGAAAACCGAAATTGGAAATTTGGAAAACTAGAAGAATATCGTTCATCACATAATAAAGTGACAACCAGCTCCCGAAGGACAGAGGGCGTTTTGGGGCATATAAAATAAATTGGTCAAACAGAGAATTCCCATGTCTTGCTTACTGAACAGAAAACTTAAAATTTTTTTATCTCTATGACAGTAAGCTATTATATTGTGTGTTTCTCGCCATCGTGCATGATTTTTTACCGTTTTTCTTTCCTCTATGAGAATCTATCTATGCAAGGTCCTAAGAACACGCAAAGTGCAATAAAAACTCCGATTCGAAATTTAATAGTATAACTCGATGAGGTTTTCCATGTGTGGCCTTGCGTTGTCATCGAACGGGGGCTGGCCTGGCCTCGTTTGTCTGATCTTATCATGTGAAGAGCTGTCTGACTCGATGCAACTGGACCAAATAAATATGCTGATCAACTGCCTAGTTCGTGAAAAATAATTTCCAGTAAGTCTGACCCTCGCAGTCCCGCAAAACGAAAAGTTTAATCTTTTTAGATGAATATCTGATTGAACACTGAGTTTTAGCTTAGTTCCTGGAGTCATCCGCTCCAATTTCTGCTTCACGTTAACGTACAGACATCACCTTTGTTCTGCAATTCTGTGCAAAAGTCGACTATTGTAATCGTTTGTAACGCGATTAATTGAGAGGAGGCGTTAATGTATAACTCCTTGTTGGATTCAGAGAATTAAGTACACCCGTCAAGGTTTCCCTGTAACACCTAGAAACTTTAGGTGGCCTATGAAAGTCGGGTTACTACACTCTATTTTCTCGGTCGATTTCCGAATCGTTTCTTCCACTGCTTTTCCTTCAAAAATGCCTTTAAATAAAACCAGAGCAGGGAATATCCTCTAAGGTCCCAAACGCCGTTTTCGAAAGATTGTTCAGTTGGCAAACCAATTCCAATAACGATAACATTATTATTGGACACAAACCAAATGGCCTGGACCGTTCTGGCAGCGCTTTGGCCTCGACGAAATGCATCCATAAAGAAGATGTTAGAAACACACTTCTTCTTCAGATAAAACATCAGTCTTTAAGAGGTTTTCCAGGTTGAAATTGCATTCACTACACTATACCCACTAGCATGGTAATAGAATAGGAAAAGCGCTTTTGAATGCTATATAAGAAATAAATAGCAAGTGAGAGAAAGTGCGCAAGAATGTTTTTTAAGCACTGGACGTTCTTTCGAACTGAATATATTTGGATGTAGTCTGTGCTCTCTATAAGTGCCAGACAGTCCAACTGTCATGCAAACGGGACACTGAGCTTTAGACAGTTATTAAAGATCCATAGGACTTTTTACGGCTACTGGTTACTTACGTTCTATGACCACACAACAATTTGAGCAGTACATTACTCGTGTTTCTCTCTTAAAAGTATATCAACAAGAATAGGCCTATTACTTCATTTATATTTATTGCTATTTACATACAATCTCTGTCCGTATTAGGCTCTACACCTAACAGCACTCAACATCAATGGGGCCAAAGAAAAAGGACATTTCTCATTGTCTGGCAATTTTTTGCAAAGTTTCATTTTCTCGTCTATATTTTCCACATCATAATATATTCCTTTTAATTAAAGAAAATGCATATGACACTGGTCAAGGAATATTTTGCATTTTTTCTTGTAATTACTTTTAATAGGTACATTTTATTATTACTTTGTTATTATTTTTATAACAATCATCACAGATAGTAAACAATGACCGATACAGTACTCGGTTAACATAAACAATTTTTGCTTAGCAGACAGTTAAACTTTTTGCCGGTTAAAACCCAGCTCATAAAATGCTATATTTACCTTAGCACAGGCTAATCTAAGTAAGAGCCTTAATTGCAACATGATTGCATTTGGTTCATTGTTTCTTGGACTACATTTCCGTTTAAGTTAAGAACTTCAGTCGCTCTTCATTCCTTTTAGCTCTTGAGACTATTACTATGCTGAAATCGTAACGATACCTGAAATATCTCATAGAATTCAGCTTTTCATTTCCCCTGCCGCCAGTCAAAAAAGTCCAAGTTTCCTTGCAAGTCGGACTCCCTATTTTCTAGGACTGTTCTACGACGCTCCGAATCCAGTCCTGATACTTAGCTACGCGCGTATATGACCCTGGATAGCCTTTTTCAGCGCATCTCCGTCCGAATGAGGTTATGCCAATTACAGCATACCGACGCTGATCGTTGAGCATCATCAACGGCCCGCCGGAGTCACCCTACAATGAAAGAACAGCAAAAATGTGTTGTAAATATGCTGAGATTTTCTTTATTATGGCTAGTCACTAGTAACAAATTCGTCTGCGACAGCAGATTGTTCTGTAAATCTATCTAATGGATGCTTAACTGAGACTCGCGTAAGATCGGCAGAATAGACACCGTCATCAGGGGCTGAAACAATACTGTGTCCCTAATCACCAATTTATTTGAATGAATGCTTTATTGTTTTTGTTTGTATTTGAAGTCTGAGCGGCCGTAAACTCATCATATTTCTATACAAAGTGATAAAAAAAAGAAGTCAGTAGGCACATGGCTTACTTAAGAAATCAGATCTATTGCTTTTTTTAACACAAGCCACCCCTACCCTTTGGCCCAATGGAACCGCTGAGCTCAAGAATCTCGGAAACCAACGGTAGAACCAATTTTGAACTATTGTTTCTATCTATAAGATGATAATTAGAATGACGCGACGAGTCCTTTTTTTCGGGACCTCCTTCCTCTAATAGTCGGTTTATAGGAATTTTGGACTCCTCTGTGGCTCATGTGCACTTTTCCATGTCCCACCACTACTCCTCTTTTTTCATCACTTAGACTCCCTTTGTTTACTTCGATTTATCTTTATATGCAAAATAGCTTAGCAAGCAGAGCGCTTGGAACCTTATGAGCAATGCAATGTCTCATGCTGGTAGTTTTACGAGGCTACTTTCGTACTGGTTCCAAATTAAACGTTTTTATCATTGTTATTATTAGTACCTTCTTTTCACCCCTCAGATACTGTTAGTTCCATGCTTAACATATAACACACGGTGCAAAATAAGTGCGTTTTTACTAAACTTTTCATGGTCGCCCTGTGTACCAATATAAACATGACCTCTATTAAGCTATTTAGTACTAGAGAGTTACAAATAGATTATGTCTAGACGGAATAACTGTTGTCTCTCGGTTAATACGCAAAATCGAATGGATTATGGCTCAGCACTCAAGGAAACTGCTACTAAGCTTGCGGTATAACGCCAAAAGTTGCTCCTTTGGATCACCATGGCAATCCATGTATGGTTCCTTCAAAGCTTGAATTCATGGAGTCCTAAGATAATTTAACAATATTTTTTAAACAAGAAAGGCCATTTTCATCTATTTGGCGCATGTACACTTAGTGGATTGCACGTAGCTTACATGTTCGAGTGAGGTGCTAGTGGGGATTACAAAGTAGCAGAACGTAGATTACACCTCGTGTGCGTCTCAATTAAGGCTCAAAAAGAGCCTTTAACAGCCTTGTGTGGCAGTTAATCTCAGTGCATCGTAATCGGTATTCTTTAGCCTTTCAATGCAATATCTACGCGCTGCAAAAGCATGTTGCCCAACTTCTTATAGCTTAGTCTCACGTTTGAGAAACCAACGAAGAAATGAGTACCTTAATATCTATTTATTTTCGTTAGTAATATTGTTTCCATTAATCGAAGATATTGATCTTTTGATGAATTAGCGAAGATTGAGGTCAGCTTCAAACAAAACATAATGCTCACTAGGTATAAAAGTGTTTTAAACGTGTGTAAATTATAGTTTGTACGTCAAAACGTATCTTTTTGTAAATGTACATGAATAGCACAACGCCGAAATAATTGGACGTACGAATAGATATATTAGCTAAATGATGATGAACAAATCAATATTGTGGTTTCCTCGCACTATTGTTTGTATACTGGTGTTCTACTGGTCCCTTATATTTCAATTTCCTCAATTTTACATTTTATTAATACTGCTGAGTAATGAGCTTTTCAGTGGTTCTATACATGTGCGCATGTTTGAATCCAAGTGTTTAAAACAACGTATTCAAAATGTATAAAATAAATTTTACCGCTAACCCCTCGTTGGTAAAACTTCATTTAGTATATTATATTATGCCTAAGCAACTACGCTTTGTTAGTACATATGGTTTAGTATTGTTCATTCATATATCGAATGATCTGTATTATAGTACAGAGTAAGATTCACCTCCTCTTTGAAACCTTGACAACAATTCAACACTATACTTACAAGTTTAAATGCTAAAAGCGTTTGTCTCATTTTATTGAGCGGTTCAACCTTAACTAATTAAATAAGTTGCTATAATCTATGAGAGTACCTGAGGTGGCTCCAAAGATTATTGTTTACAGGTCTGATGGTCGACAGATGGATGGATAGAAAGGATATTAACTTATACTTCGTCAGTCTGTTTGCCTTAAGCATGGGCTGAAACAATCTAAATAGAAAAAATATTGAGGGATATATAGAGAAATCATCAGATCATTTCGCCTATGATAGGCTGAGTTCTACAAAATCATAGTGGCATCATGCTGATTCAGCCGAAACTTCACACATGCTGCATTATCAAAGTCTCGCATATATAACTTCGGAACTTAAGATCAACCTTCCTTAAAGACCGAAGACATTGAGATTCGCCAATGGTTAACTGAAAGTCATGCAACATCATCGACATATAGCAACGGCAAAATCAGGATCGATACCAAGTTACTGCTAGCTATTTCTGAAAATTTTAGTGGCTTTTAGTTTTCGATACAACGAATATAGGGTAGTAAAGTGTCACATATATATCTGTGTATAACTCGGAAGATTTACCATGTAGTTTTTACGCCCCATTGATTGGGTTAGCAGCGACCTATGGTCGTTTCTAGGATATCTATATGGCTAGCAGCGGTAGAGATCAGATGTAGTTTGATTCATGCTAAATGCTGACATTAATTTATGTAAAACCACAGACTAGAAGGGTATATTACTCTAAAACAATATGAATTTTATATTCATTGAAAGGATTTAATGCGCGAGCGGATTTTAATAATCCAAAGATATTCCGAAGAGCGTCACGCTGGACCGTTGATACGAGATTTAAGTGCTGAGCAAAGATACCCTATACGACAACAGAGTGTGTAATTACCGATTAAAGAAGAGATCTATGAAGATACACAAGTATGTGCTCGGAGGAAATTCCTAACTCAAAAACAAACCCAAAGAAATGGCTGGTCCAGTCTCACAGCAGTAATAGCGTTAAACTTTTAATGAAGATAGAATAGCATCCCTATGTTTGTTGTACAACCTCTCAAACTCGGGGCCATATGCTTGCTAATCTGTCTGGCCTAAAGTAATAATACTTGATTGTTTTCAAGAAGATACGGCCGCGATTAATTGTTTTTATGAAATACAAAGCCTTTTCACTCAAAAACATATTCCAGAAGGATAGATAGAAGGCATGCTTGTTATCATCGCAAAAATTGTAGATAGACCGAAAACTATGCTAGTTTCCTTAACAATTTCGGGCATTACGCTAACGCTAGCGAAACTTACCAAGCGATAAAGCTCCGCATTTTGCTAAGTAGCTTTTTCCCATTTAGGTTCTAGCGAACTTCAAGCCTCATTGCATTATTTGGGCTTATTGCGCAAGCTTCAAATTAGTTAAGTGAATGTCATAAAATCGATATGAATAAAGTCAAGTATTATCATAGTTTGAGAAATGAAAAACCGTGGATTTTCTATTTTTTTTCCAATACTGTCTAGTGTTTCTTTAATGTCTGAGGACATTTTCAAAGCATTTGGTCTTGGCTCACCCGACACGTGTCTCGATCTCCCTGTAGACTTCCGGCGCAAAGATAATTCTCGTTAAATTTGATAACGGTCCGCTTAAAAGCTTCCTTGCACGTATCTAACGTTTGAATAGGAACGGTAACCTCTTGCAGAATCGAACTCGCTGGACCATCTGGAAACAGTTTTCATATGACTATTAACGACATTCGAACCCCCTATTTCTCCCGGAAGTTAAATTTAACTTCAACGTTCTCTCACTGATCTAGCTAACGGCGCGCCTATACACTGCAACCTCTCCGCAATTAGGTGACCTTAATACGTCCATATTTAGTTCAAGCATAACTGTATATATCAATAAAAAACAACTATTTATCTGTCTTCAGCTCATCGATAGCTGTACTCAATTACTGTAATTCGCAAATCTTTCTTCATCGAAAACCTATTGATCGTTCCTCTGGCTTGCTTAGATGGCTTTTAAGTCTCATATGCCAAGTTATATAAATCGGATCGGGCAGCTGCTAGTGTTATTTGAATGGCGAGATTTGGCAGTAGTCGATGAGCTTGTCGATTGGTAGGATGTTTTTATATAGACTCAGCGTGGACTGCCTTATAGATGAGCAGAATTCCTTCAAAATTCGTTATATTTTACAGTTTTATTACGCACATAGACCCAGGCTTCTAGAACAAATTGTGCTATTCCTGAACAAAATGCGTTATCGAAGGAAGCGGCCTGAAGATGATTCTCTGAAAATTTTGATGTAAAGAATACTGATGAATGTTGATGCGAGGGCCAGGTGCAGAAAAAGCTGATACATTTATTGTGTGAGTAACTACTATTTAGCCAAGAAGCTACGAATCGATAGATAAATAGTTTTCAACTGTTTGAGACAAGCTAGCTATAAGAAAAGTCCATCATTACTTAGATTCCATATAAATTGAATTTATCCGATTATATCTCCATCTGTGGAATCTACAGAAACAAAATGAAGTCGGGCCGTTTCTGTAGCCATGATCACGAGTGATAAAAAGTAGACTACATTCGACAATGATGCATAAATAAGGAACTGTGCTTTACGATTCATGGTCAGACTGACGCCAAACAATATGTTGCTATGTTTTTGGTAGGACTGGAAAAAAACCGTACGTTATGAGTTGTTGCCACCTGGCAAAGCGATCGACCTGGATTTATACTATATTAATTTCAATGGAAATGATGCAAAAGTCACTTGTCACAATCTCTTGCTCAGAAAGCACCCGAGTATTACAGTTTTATATCTTCATGATTTTACCGAAAAGAAAAGGCAGAAAGTCATCGCTAAAAATGGGGCATATTTGTGTTATTTTAAATTATAGAAAAGAATCCTTCCCAGAAGAAAGAGAAAGTTATAGAAAAGAACGATCAGTATTTTTCGACAATCCAATATTAGAATAAACAGGAATGTTTATGAAATGTGGTTAAAAAGTTTAGGTAGAGAATAGGCACAATGAATTCTTTCGGAGACGGATAGCAACTAACCTTTCCGGTTTCGCAGATCACCTAAGCTTCCCGACAGACCGGATAGGATAACTAGTATTTGTAATACAAGACATCGTTATGACTGAACGTTTTATAAATCTGAGCGTAACCCTGTACTGAGAATACAAAACCGATACGTGTGCGGTGATTTTCGATGGGTAAAAAAAAAGTCTTTTTCTGAGGTACGCTTTTGAACGAAACGAAAGGGAAATCCAATGCGGTAAAGATTCCTGCAGGCGCACAAATTCGCGCGTACAGCTTCTATATACGATTTAAAAAACATGATTGGATATTCAAGTACCTCTGGATAAAAGTAAGCAGCAACAATGACTGCCAACTTCCCTGAATCGCGTTACACGAAGGCTCCATTCACGGCGAACAGAGACATAATGTTATGCGTGCCGCTGCTAATTTATAGATAGCTGCTATTAGAATCTGACGAAAAAAGGGAAGCGGCGTAACTGAGCTCGGCCTTAAATCGCTTCTTATCAAACTACTTTGAGTCTAAATAATGTATTCCCTAGCAGCAGAAACATAGCACACAACGACGTTTTTAATCTCTAATAAATTTGAAGTCAGCTATTTTAACAATACGCCAGTGATAGTGCAATCTGTATAAGCATATCTCTTCTCAGCAAACAATTTTCAATCCGGTAACCGTTTTAGGAAGAGGAACTTAACGTAGCTTTATTGATCTTAATTTAACACGGGCAGAACTTTCACATTTCTAAAGAAGTTTGCTTATACTATCTAAACGTTGATATGCGTTCCAAGTGAGTTCCTGATTTATTTTGAAGGATGTCATTGATATTTTCAGGCGACTCACGAAGAACGGTGTCGGTGTGAGAACACGGAACGAACTGGTCGCCAAATGGACTTAGCTTTAAGACGGTCTGTAATTTGTGATTTATAAATGTATAGATTCGTTGCTGAAAACGTTTCATCAAGATGTAGGACATCTTTCTAATATGGGGCCTAGTGGTCATTGCGTCGACGGAAATATTGCTAAAATGAATCACTAACTCATTAAGCAAGAACCATCTAGAGAAGGATGCCAAGTCTAACAGCATGGATTCTTCCTCGTTTTTGGGTGGTATCTTCTCAAAGTATATCTGTGCAGGCGGTTTTTTCCGAAACTCTGGATAATGCCAGAGCTATCCTCGCAATGGAGGGCCAAAACACTATACAGACAAACCTTTTAAATATGCGTCTTCTAGGCCTGACGAAGTGGCATGCAGCCAAAAAGCTTATGGTTGATCCTACTAATAATAACAAAAGATTTGATTACCATTTCTCGCATACGTTGCTAAAACAAGACCTCCTAAGCAGCTCAGGCGAACACTGAAGTACAATGAGACATATTTTTAACCTATTATTTTGTCCTGGGTCATATTTTTCATCGCGATACGATAGTGTCTGAGTACAATACACTGTGCAACAAAAAGGAGTTACTAATTTACGTTCCATTACATCGTGATGACCTCTTCGTGTACTTAGTAAACCCGTGATTGGTCGACAGCCCGGAAACGCATTGCCTTCCGGTAGCTGGTCAGCGACAGCCCTGAAAATTGTGAATGATTTTACTGACTCAACAATGCCGCAACGGACAACGCAGCTGTTGGCTGGAAGTACTTTTTAGGAAAGCATTAATCGACACGTTAACTTCGGTTTCTAACAAAAATTCCCAAAAGATAACAAAAAGCGACATTCGTGATGAGCTCGACACGCTTATTTTTCCAGGACGTTACACGGCAGAAACAGCCTTAATTTCTACATGGTACATGGCTATCTAATTCCTGAACTACAGCAACGTATTCTAAATAAAGTAGAATTCGCGGTGGCGGAATATCAATCGTTAAGTTGAGAAGGTCTGCCAAATTTAAGGACAGGAGTCACTGTGATTTTAGCCTATTGTGCCGATAATTCTGGGAATGATATGCCAACAAACGGACGAGTGCGAAGGAAGATTTCGTCGGGTACCGATGCGTCCGTTTGCAACTCCAATTGAGGTCAAGTTATTTTCCGGGCTCTATCTATGCTTTTTTTTCTACCTAAGCGCTTTCTCGAAACGAGCCTCACACCATGGTTTTATACCATTTTTTAACAGGTTCACGTAGCTGTCAATGATTAGTACATTGGCAAGTTGTGTTAATACATTAGCGAAAAACTCCGAGGTGCGTTCCAAGGGGTACTAACACCAGGTTGTTTTAGCGAACGGTATTTCACTTCGTTTCACAACACCCCTTGAGTCGAAATTCACAATTCGAAGTCATGAAATGTTTTTTAATCGGGCCTTATCGTAAGAGGGCTGTAATGACTGTACCCAATTACTTGATTTTTGATCTTTTTTTGATATCACTTACTGACAGGAATGCTCTCGTGTTCTTATGAAAAGCCGACGTCAGTTGCGCCACCTTAAATGTTTACCCATTTAAGCTGGTTTTGAGGTGTGTTTAACGTAGAGCAGTTACTTGTATCGCGTCATTGATTGATGAAAGACCAATATCGGCAATCTACATCCCTTCTACTTTAACTTATTCCTGATATTGATATCATTGCTTCTATGGTTGTTGTATGTAGAAGTAGAGACTCGCAAACCAATAGGTTAACGTTAATTCATCGTTACCGTTAACGAAGACAAATATTAAAAAAAAAATATTAACAATAAGTAACAAGGAATCGTGTTCGACTCCAGTGTTGGAATAAAATACTTTGTACATGTACGTATTCTGTGTAGAAGAATATTTATATTCTATGTAAAAGCCCCACCGAGTCGTCTGGTCCTGTATGCCTACCAACGCACTACTGATGTATGTATCTACAATGTTAGCTGATTAGGTGCATCGGCGTCATAGAGAGTCTGTAATAAAACTGCGGAACGTAATGTGTTTCGAATAACCCGCTCCTATTCGTCTCGTGCATTAAAGCGTACTACTTAGCCAGATGCTGGCATTACCATTCATTCAATAATCATCCATCCCCAACTTGCTGTTTCAGCTGATAAGGTAGCTGACATCTACAGGTTTCTTTGCCGGTTAGCATAAATAATGGTTCGAAAAAGCGTAAATTAGATGAGCACTTTTCAGCCTAATTTAGAATTATTTGTAAATTATGGCAGATAATGGATCCCATGCTGACCTGATATAAAAGCAACTATTTTTTTTTAGTCTATTTTACTCAATACATTTTAGGGGGGTATGAATATAGCCAGGTTTTTTAGCATTCGTATTAAGAGTTTTGCCTGCTCTCGTTGACTGATTAGCTTCCACATCAGTTATAGGGCTTGTAATACATGATATTGTTAATTAATCGCCGTCATCCAACAGATAAGTTTAAGAGTCGCATACGCCATATCATATTAGCCTGCTCTTTAAGCCACAGTGAGCCTACAAGCTCAAAATATATGACCATTTTTTAAAGTCACTTATTAGGAGAAATTTCACCGATTCACGAAACTATTTACGGTATCAATTACGTCGAGCTCGCTTTGACCGTTTTCGCAATGATTGAGTGATCGTATGAAGGACTCATTAGGAAAGCAATTTTTTCTGGGCAGTGTCATAGTGGCAGGGGGCTACCCATGAACACATTATTCCTATGGATTTTGCTTATCCGAAAAGTATCCATTCCACGGCTAAACGTCTTGTTCGAAATAAACTACACATTTACTGTGAGTTACAAATTTTCCATTTCATTTTTCAGGTTACATCTTTTTCACCTGTATTTTGTAATCGCTCGTCTACAGGAAAACCTAGCAATACACCAGCGAATCCTTTATTGTTTAATCAATATGTGTGCCTAATTGGCCTTTTTATTTAGCCTTTTCGCATGTTCTATCTGAGCTGGCAAACGCGGAATTTTCATGTTGTTAAATTGCGTACCAATCTGGTAGCAGTTCAATACGTAGCTAAAAAAGCTTTAGGGCAATAAGTCATTTACAGCCCACAAAGTTGCGTTGCATAAAGTCAAGAAATTTTATTTAAAAATATTCAGTCTGTGCTATGACGTCAGTCTACTTAAGAGCCTAGTTTCTAATAGTCTATATATCTGTTCACAAGGGGTTCGACGATTCACTGCATTGCAAGTGAGAATGGTGAAGCAGATTTGAATTTTGCGCTTAACGTATTGAGCGCACACACACCACATCAATAGGTTATGAACCGGGCATTTGTGCGCCTCTTAGCAGGAATGACCAGTTAGATCGACTGTATTTTGACTCTGCACGAAAATTCGATGAACCAAATACAACTCAGATAGAGGGATCCACGTTCGTCTATCGTCCATGTTTTAGAACCTTAATTTAAATCCCAGCCAAAGCAGCTACACATACGTTTATGTTCGACTTACCGTAATACAGTTCGCCCCATCCAGCTACCGTAGCGCTACCCCTGTACTCTGCATCGTCGCCTTTCGTCGTAGGAACACAGATAGGAGCGATTCCTTGTCCGTACAATGTCGGTCGTTGTAATCTGTGAAAATATAGAGCACACGGTAGAGTGTTGGTACGGCAACAATGTTGATTCACTCATTCCTTGACACGAGTAGTAATGCGGAGCTCGACTCATATAGCGTCGCGTAACATAATTGCTTCTTAACTAACTGTTGCTGATAGGTGACTTAAAATCACGACTTTATAGAAGCTGTCCTGCTGCCCTATCACTCGTGTAAAGTATTTAGTGCGTCAGCAGTAGCAAACATGGACGAATGTACCTCAAGATGGCAATATCATTCAAGTATGTACGGTTGTTGAATTGTGGATGACTAAAGACGCGGCTGACGTCGATATTTACTGGGTTTGCTCCATCATCGACGCCCAAATAGTCATGTTCACCCAGTCGTACTGTGAAACGATGCGCTGGAATCCTGCATATTAACGAAAAAACAACAGAATGAAAATACTTGCAGCGGTACAAAGCACAACAATCAAAAGCCAAATTACTCGTAACAAGGTACTAGTGATACGTTTTTATAAGAATATTATCAATATTATGATTTTTTTAATAGTATGATATTATCAAAAGAAATACTTTGAGTTAGTATGCACATTGAGCGTACTTCACGGGTAGAATTAAAATTTGACGAAAGACTTATGGTTAAAGCAAATCTTACGGAAAAAGAGCCCAGAGGAACTCCAAATCTAGTCGATAGCTTATTGTCTTTACATAATACATAAGATTTTTTCAAACGGGAGCCGCAGTACAAAGCGGGCCTTGTTGTTATGGTAATAAAATGGCTTTGTCTGGTTTCTAGTGGTACCGATGGTCCGACTTGTCTGAGATTTCAGAGAGATCTAGTAATCAAATGTAATTACTGAATAACGTTTCATATATATGGCTGTCACAATTTGTCATATAGTTAACAAATATTACACCCGCATCGAAGGTCTTATGTATAGAAAAAATAAATCGATATTTTGTGATCTTAACAAATTGTCGGTATATAAGGCCAGAAAGCCTATCGTAAGAAAAAATTATATACTGATACATAAATTGAAGTTTTCAATAAGATCTGTGCCAAAAACTTGATTTTGAATTTCTATTCAATGTTGATTACTTTTCTCAAGTGTTCCCTAAAATAAAGCTTATCAATTTTTCTTAGTACGTGAGTCTTGAAAAGACAATTTGGTTCACAGCATAGCACTGATTTATATTTGCGCTCAAATTGAAGTGAACCAAACACTATTTGATTCGTCTGAGATTGGTATAAAATTGCAAACAGATAGGAAAATTATCTTTGTAGTAGGCTACCGATATAGAACGGACTTTCATTCATACTATCTTCCAGATCCTTGGCCGGGGAACCCTATAATGTTTTTAAAAACTCATTTATATTGTGTGGCCACCATAACTTGACTTAATATATGACATAATAATGACTTAGAGACCTATTTTTGCTTGCTTAATTATCCATTTATCTACTCTTTACAAACTCTATTAGACACAATGTTTCACTAGTGCCATCCGTCACTTTTTAATAGGCTAACGGCCTGACTATTCGATTTCCAGCTGTTTTACTCAAATAACCTGTCTTCCAATCCTGCAACCCGTGCTGCATTTATGGCGCACTAATCGAATGCCTAGCGCTACTTACCGCTGTAACGGCCTTACTTTTCCCATGGAATTTGTGTTAGGACTTTCACACTCATAAGCAGGTGCCCTGAATAGCTAGGGACCCTGCATCAAGGGCACCTGCCTCACTATCAAGGTTAAGATTTTTTTTTACACAAAAGCCAATACTAAAGGCCGTGGCAAAAAAGTCAATTGAAAGTCATACGTAGCATTATCTACATGGAACTCGCCTATAAAGCTAAATCGACGCTATTATTGGTCAATGAATAAATGTCACATTTGCCGAGGCTACTGGTTAGAGGAGAGCAACTTGCTATGTTATTTTGGCCTTTTTCCTAGCTGATGCCCACACACAAGTTGAATCCCACATTTTGGCCCGATTAATACAACGGTGATCTTACGCCAAGATGTATCTGTTTTCTGCTCCGCACAAATGCTCGCAGTAGAATCAAGAGCTTACTCTAGATGCCCCTAGAGCATGTAGTTTCAACGATTGGTGTAATTATTTTTTATGCTGCCAATTGTGCTGAGTGGAAAATGAAAACATCAACATGTCCTTTTCGTTCATAGTTACACACGATTTTGTTGTTTGGTCTGCACTAGGCTATTGATTGTTACATACGTATATTGATGAACAGTAGCACATCCAACGTAGTAGGATTAAGAATCGATTCGGTCGGCATAACTGGACTTCTTTTCAACAAAAGCTTGTATATTGTATATTTTTAAGAAAGGAACTCAGTTACATCAAACCTTTGGCCATCTGTGACTAGATATTGGCTGAATGTTGTCAGAAAATGATAAGTTTCAAGGCAATATTAAAAATCAACGTTTAGTTATTAAGTTTTAACTTCTAAAAGTGAAAAGGCATCGAACTGAGTTGTTATTCACGAACCAAGTCAGAATTGATGGACAGAAACATGTGAGAGGAAATTTCTACCAAAAAAACGCACTTCAATATACACCATCACGACAGGCGAAACAGTCTGTGCCGCTTTCTAGAAAAGAAGCAGCGTTGAAAATAACGTCAAACATAAACAACAGCCATCTCAACAGCAGTGGCAAATTAATTAAATTAAATAATTAAAGTTTATACTCGCCACAGCTAGCCTGCCCCTAAAATGGTAAATAACAACCTGCACAATAATAGACTGACTGTAAATTAGACCTAAATCGCATAGCGTATGCTGCCGTTCCGATTCTATTGAACAAGCTATCGATAGCATCATTAGGTATATCGATACAAATGCTATCTTAAGTACACAGCTATTGAGAAGCTTCGACAGAGCGCGTTTCAACGTCAAATAACAAGCTTTTTTTTTTCTTTTTACCAACCAAATTTTATCAACACCCAGTTGTTTTACTTTTTATGATTCAAAGGTTCTTCAAATTTATCGATCCGCTCATTGGACATCAGTATATAGAGAACTGTTCTGTGGTTCTTTGCGTTTAGAGCGCAGTACCCAGTGTGACACACAATTCTTGTTTATCTTTTGCTACAACGAAGTATATCCGGTTCTAAGAAATTCCTAAGAGCGATTTCAGTGAGTCTTTTTTTGAAATTGTACTTTATATGACTCGAATAGAGCAATAAAACTATTTTTCTGCATTTGACACATTTATGTATACAATGTATGGAACATGCATACTAAAAGTACGCACACGGCGTTCTAAATCGTACTAAAACGGCTATCTATAACGGTGAAAGGGCAGAGTCTTGATGCCACAGCATCTTGTAGTCTCTGGCTGTCATCGAAACGTATGTTAAGATGGTTATATTTTTTCATACTCATTCAATATTATATAATGTTAGACGTATTTTACGTACAATATATACGTAGTACAATATAATGCTATACGTATTCACTCACCCGAAGGCTAGAGAGATTTACATTGTTAGGATAGTTGATGATGCTGAATAATATTCTTTCACTTTTTTTCTAGCTTAATACATCTTCGTGGGGGCCATTTGGTTTAAATGCCGATAATGCAGATTTTTATCACAGGAATCAGCATATCAAGGTTGACGTAGAAGACATTTGACATTTCAATTTAACTTCCGAACAAAAAATATCACTTATCGTTTTCGAGCTCTAATAGGCTCAGTAGACTAGTTACTTTGATCTAATTAAAGTTATTCTCAATGACCCCTTATTTAAAGCAATCGAATTACCACAGCATGAACAACCTGTCTTTGGTCGTTTTTATTTTTCGAAAACCTGTAAGTCGAATTCAGCCCGAAAAGAGCAATGGTACGATCGATCACTATCACAGAACCATTGAGTTAAAATAGATTCATTTATAAATAAGTAGATAGAAACGTCTCAGGTCGGATTGAACCTTTGCAGAAAATTAACATGTTAAATAAATGATGAGTTAAATGTCTAACCATTCGATATGAGGTAGTTTGTCGCATAACATAACTCCACCCGCAGATATTAGAAAAAAATAACCCCAATACACCTCTGGACACCATTTTCATGCTACCAAATGTTAGCTCGCATAATCCTGCGAAGCTCAGAGATCTGAATTATATTCCTTTGTACTGAAATAACGGGCATTGGCTAGTTTAGCCCCTAGCCTTTCTAAGCACTTTTGATGTGTAGCATAAATTCAAATATAACTAAATTTTCGTAACTTCCTAGTGAATGCCGAATAAACATATTTTGCTAAATCTAATTGAAAGACATTTAGTTAGGGCATAGCGTGGCCATAGAAAATAAATTACCCACAAACAGACAAGGCATTATAACATCAAGTTGGTTTTATAAAAGTATGTCTGGTAAAACTATCGAATTGTCTAAAATATGGTTTACGAATCTACAATGATTCTTTTCATATTTGTAGCCCAGTTGTAGTTCCGCTAGAGCATACACTGGGATCATTTTGTAATTTGCTCGTGAACGGAAACGTGCTCTCAAAGTAGATCTGGCGCGTTCAGCAGGAAACCTGACTCTAAGTTTTGGAGGCACAATAATATGCTCTTGTTCAGAGGAAGGTCATCATTTAGTTGACATAAAAAGCTACCACGACGAAGAATAGGCGCTGAGGAAAGGACTGGCGAAGCGCCAGTAGCGACAACTGCCGACTTGTATCGTCCCTGCTTCCAAGCAGTAAGCAGGAAGTTTTTGGAACAAGCGAGACACAGATCTAGTAGAAACATCTGATGACGCATCCTATTCCACTCTGCCGGCTCGTTAGCAATATGCCGGAATCAGATTTCTACCTCTCTCGTTCGTTCAGCGAACAATTTTGCACGTCTTGATTTGGCTTTAAGCACTTGACACGCTTTACGCGCTTGATACGCATTTCAGCCATTACTCGTTTTTTTATCTTTCCCGTGTGAAGGACGAAACGACAAAAGAATTTGTTTTCAATAGCGCAAACCTTGTGACCCTCTTAATCGGCCGGTCTACTTTCGACAAACATGGCATCTCTTCTACCAACATCATCGCATGACCTGTATAACTGACGGCATTTTACGGATAACTTACGAATGATGTTAGCTAAGTTAATCCTCTAAAGCGTACTATTGCGATGGTCGTGGGTGTATTTGCATTGAAGCCAAGTGTCAATATTACCTGTAATCTTTTCCAAATCGTCTGACCAAATAGGTCTCCTCTAAGTCAACAGGTTTTAGAGCTTTGTATAGCTTTATGCGTCGTTTCACAAGTAAGATACAAGATCTTTTTGCAATGACCTTTATCATTTCACGAAGTACGTACCTGGCGACTAAGAAAAATTTGATCAAATTTATTGTAATGGTTGTGAATATAATCTACCATCACTCGGTGATATAATACATGTATCTATTTTTTTGTCAAAGGCAAATAAGTCCCTTTCTGCCTTCCCGCTTCTGGCCGGCCCTTTAGTAATAACAAACAGTGGGCTTCTTTTTCAAATACGAATATTGTTTTAACTTTAGCGCTGGCTATTATTTTAAAACCAGCTGTCCATATGCATATCATTATACAATTAACTCAAGCAGGTATCAAAAGTTCTTTACCGACTGCACAAAGTTCGGTCGTCATAACTGGAGCTGGGCCCTTAAGAATTCTAGAGTGTTCAATATGTGGGACAAAGTTGTTTCTTGGATTGCCCCAATCGTATCGAGGTTCTTTTTCATGCCTTTGTTAGGAAAAAAAAATCTCAAAAGGCTAAGTCTAGATGTATATGTAAAAGGTAGTCAAGGTAACACAGGCATCGAGCAACAAAAACCCAGCAAAAAGTAGTGACGTGTGGGTTCATAAATAATCGTGGTAAAAAATCCACGACGTGCTCTCTCAGAGTTCAGGCCTACCTTGGCGGACAATATTACGCAGCCCTTTTGAAACATCTTAATAACACCTATCAGTAACAGTAAAACCATTTAGCATGAATTAATGATACCCAACTTTCGCTAATCGAAGGAAGCGGTGAGAAACCGGGTTCTCCCTTTCGATCTTGCAGCTTCCTTCGCTTTGAATTTGCCTTCCCAGCTTTAGACAGGCGCCCAGGTGCCCTGCAGAAGCTTGCTGACTACCCACCGTATTGTAAATGGTACTCGTTGCATACTTATTATAGAATAATTGAGACAAAATTAATATCACAACCTTGAGATTCAATTGGTAGCGAAAACCTACTATTTATTATTATGTTTTTCATAATTACTTGCGATGCTAAACCTAATCTGACGGAAATGGCGATAGTAATTCCTTCAAGTCTCGACCGATAACTAATAAGCAGTTACTCGTTTAACGTATCTAAACGTTGTGTGTCGTCTTCAATTTAACCGCGTGCTTACTTCTATTGCGGCAAAGCAGCACCATGGATGACGGTGAATGAAAAATGCCGTGAGCGGAAATTTTTCCCGAATTCTACCGATCCCCTCGTTGAACAGTTACCTGTCACGAATATATTTCAAGTGTTTTGCTCTTAATCTCTGCTGAGCCGCCTTCAAAATTGTTCAAGCTACATATACACGCTAGAGCGTTCACAGAAATGTTTCCCGTCAATTCAAATTAAGCAACTTGATATCTTCTGGCGATATCATCCATAGCTACAATTTGCTCTTAGCATCACTAGAACAGCAGTAGTAGCACACATTGCAGATTTACTATTGCTAGTACTTGCTGGCCGATAACTATTTGTTATTATTTAGATTTCATAGCCGGGACGTTCGGCCACGGTTACCAACAACTATGCCAACTTAACCTTTACCTTCCCTGTACGAGTGAAGCGCGCCGTTCATGGCTGGCTATCTTCTACACCACGGAACCACTGGGCCTCGAGATCAGCCGGCAATCCACAAACTTAAACATCACTCATCGAATAGTCGCTAAAAGTAGGTTCGCTAATGAACAAATCGTCAAGGATTGGAACTGCTGAAGAATGTCGGTTCCGGTATAATTGAAAAAAAAAGGGTATTGGCGACATGTCATCGCCCACAGGGTCGCTGGCATACAAACTTAGAGCCTGAGGAAGAACCCTAGTGGAAGTAGGCGACAGGATGGTGCAATGCGGCGAAATAGCATGGGAAGTCGTGAATTTAGACGGTGAGCAAGCGTCCAGCCCAAAGACACACTGGGGATTGTCTAAAACGTTCGGATGTATAAAGCCGTTGGAACATTTTGGAAACCAGTAAACCGTGGCGCACTGCAGCGGGCGTCAGAGCCCATCCGCGCATGCGGAGAAGGCAAATATTATGTGGCTGCCATCGTTCGTAATATATATATATATATATATATATATATATAAAATATATAAAATAATAAAAAAAAACAGTTGTAAACAATAAAGAGCCATCAAATCTGGTGCCAACCATAAAAGTCGCACTTGTATACCGATAATACGTTAATTCCGATTCAGGGCTTAGTTCTTCACAGGAAATGCATTTATCAATCCGTAAACAATTGGCAGAAGATATTAGATGATATGTTGTCATTCAAATATGTAGGTTTTAATGCCACTATTTCCAAACCACCGCGAGGTACCTCTTCAGATTAGCCGCTACATTCTTAATGAGAGTTTAAAACTAGGCCCTCTTGAGTTTCGTAAGAAGTGGTAGTAAGAGAGCCTTGAGCATTAATTACTTATCACATAAAGCTGACTATTGAACGTGTTCAATAGTCAGTTTGAGGCGTACAGCTTTGACTCGGAGCAGTAATTTGTTGGCTGTTGTAACTATTAACGAAAGGATCAATCGAAATGATCCTTTCGTAGAGATGCTAAGGACATCTAGGAAAAGCAATTATTCGTTATAAAACACAAGATAAGACGGCGTTACACTTACACGTTCCCCATAAGGTTAACACAGTGCGCTGCGGTCAGTACGTGCGTCGGATCGATCAGGGCACCTCCGCAGAGTGGCGCCTTATACCCACTTCCCGAGACGTCGACAAACAGCAAAGCCTACAAATCACAATCAAGATATAATTATTCATTAAAAAAAAAAAAAAAAAAGCAATATCATGAAGCATAGATGAAGCTAATTGTAAAATTACTGTGCACTAGATCAATGGTGAAAACGTAACGATTTGCTCAAGCACAGATCTAAGAAATCTATAGCGATGGCAGTAATGTGGCTCGTTGTGAATATTTTCAAAATAATAAGGATGAAAATTTTATTTTTGCGCGTTCTAAAAGGAAGGACCGTGCTGCGTCGAACGTAACTGCAAAGTAAACTATCAATTTGTCCTGGGCAACACACTCGAGGCCGGGCGTCTGTGAGTCCAATACTTTATCCAGCTTCGCGTCACAACCAGCGTTCAGAAATGCGCGTATGAATGCAGTCAAATGAGATGTGACGATCTTAGAGTTAACGTACAACTTGCAATTTAGCTTCGCCCTTTATTTGGTAAATTCTTTACACGATAGTAATATTTATCGTAAAATAAAACAGAAGGGAAAGAACCCAGAAAAAGAGAAAAGAAACCAGAATAATTTGTATGAACGAATGACAAACATCGGTCAAAACGAATATTTTAACAGCGGTCTGTCATGCTATAAGGCACGCTTCTATTTTTCGCTTCTTTTTGTTTTTGTTCTACAATGAATTTCTCTGTCAAACTATATACCTACAGAACATAATTCAGCTGTCGAATTTCGGGATGCGTACTTTTCTGATCATGATGTTTATTTACAACAAACGGCCAACTTGGACGGAATGAATAAATTGATTTTCAAAGCGATAAAAATCATATTTATATATATAATTTGACGGAATCGTTTTTCTGAAACCAGCAAGGCCTAGGTGACATTAACGCAAGGTCTAATAGCGTAGTATTTGGTTGTTAATTTAACTAATGAAGAACGTTAGTCGACAATTACTGTCAATACATTGGAAAACGTCGACATAAAGCAGAGAAGCAACCGATAATTTCGCTTCGTAACATATTAAATTTGTCATGGAAGTTTAGATCGCAATAGAGTTACTATTCGTTGGTCAGAAGAAAGATGCAGTGTCTGCCATGATGCTAGCCATAGAGGCTTCATACAGAATCAAGAGATTGGCACAATAATAAGCCGTGTTGAGCATTGAAAGTGTTTATGTATCCGTATAAAGTTTATCCTTTTTTTTTTCTTTGTGAAATTCTGACTGTTCTATCTGAACTTTAATATAACATGGAAAACAGCTAAACAATTTGACACGCGTGTGTTGTCACTCTGTGCTTAGATAATCCACTATAACAAATGCTATATAGGCGCAATATATGGTGGCACATTTTCTAACAAAGAACAAAAAAAACTGACAAATTAATAATGTCAAAAAACGAATAAAGAGCGCACAATCAAGAATTATAATGTATCGGAAATTCATAAGTTTAAGTTAAAAACTTACAAGCCACGGCCAAGCACCTACGGCGGCCTCTCGACCTCCGACGATTCTTTTCGTAGTCGAATTTGCCAGGCCGCAGTCTATAACATTGTTGGAAAATAAAAACATATATAATTGTTAGGAATATATTTTTACTTTATCGTAACATCAGTTCAGACTGAGTTAACAGTCTCTAGCAAATGGCCAAAACCAACATAACTATCCTGCGTTTCTGCATGAGCTTTCATTTCATACAAAAAGGAACTGGATCATACCTACAATGGAAATAACATTTGGATTATTTTATATGCTGCAAAGATGTATAGTTTTAATCCTATGTAATATTTTTATACGTTTCGATATATTTTCGAGCCTCAATTAATGTGAGATATCCTTCTAGCCAGTTATAGATATGATGTCAATATGCTCTCTATTTCCTTGCAGTTTCAATATGAAACGAAGCTTCCGCGTAGGACTACTGTTTCTAAATGCATAATATTCTCATAATGCTAAATGTGAACAGAGTCACTTATACCATTGCGAAGGCTGGCGTTGTACTTAATATATAATTTAATCATTCCCCATCGATAGGATTTATGCGACCCTCTAAAAGCAATTTACTAGTTAAACAAGCTAAAAGGGATATTTTATCGATCGGGCGATCCGTCTGTGCGCAGATATTCGCCGAGGCAGAAATGATAAGATTTCGACGACGGCTTCCTTTTTGAGTGACATTCTTCTGCGTATAGTTTTCTAGTTCGGAAAGCTGCAAGATTTTCATTTAGCTTTTTCGCTTGAGGATCCAGCCTGGAAGTATCGCTACCGTTAATAACCTTCTCAAACCTGACGTAAGCATATCTCATGTACTATCATCATAACCAAGATTCTCTTAGTCCCCTAAGTTTAGCCTGTGTTCCGCAGAATTTAAGCAAACCTCTCTCCTTTGTATTTTTTTTATCACACCCTCAGCTATTATCGTTGTGTGAGGAATCGCCAGTTTTAAGTGCAACATTAAGGACCCCTTTGTCGTGTAACGCCTTAACCGTTGCTTTAAGCAGCTGGACTTTGACCCTTCCTTCCTTTCTCTGTTCGTTACTTGATGTTGTTGCGACCCTGCAATATTGGTGCGCGAAATTGCATGTAGATAGATTACTTTCATTAAAAGCCCATCATGAACTCTCTTATCTCTCGTCATAGTTTTCTATGTCTACTAAAAATTGATCACCCTTTTAGAAGGGATATAAACATATGGCTATAGACAGGTTCGAAAGGGATGTATGTAATGGCCGCCCATGGGACTGATCTATAATCGATTCGCGGTTGATGGACTTCCGCCATGTGTCGCTTATGACTGTAACTCTTGTTCAATTTGGCCGCGGATTGTGTTTTTGACTAAATCTACAGATAATGTTACAACTATGAGAAAGCATTTACTAGATCTTCGTCTTTCTGTAGACGTACTTATTTAGTAACATAACAGTAGTAATGACAGTTGTTAATACGACCGCTGATCCTCGGAATTTTCGGTAAACTAACCCACTACCAGACGAGCCGCGCATAACGAATCAAGCCCTGACGTATTGGGCCACTGCTGACGTTTGGTGGTCAACGAAGCATATGTGAATTCAAGAATACAAAAACGGCAAAGGCAGCACCAAAGAGATGCAGCATCAAACATAACTGCTCGAATAGGAATAGTGCAAACAAATTAAGTCGATATTTCGATTTTACTACGCGCTGCTTCTCTAATAACGTGCTGACAGCTGGTTTCTTCCAGTACGAAGCAGAACAAAATGTGTCTATGACCGATTTCGAACTTAGGTTAACCCACATTTCCCTGGGTTCACCGAGCAAACACGTGATACCTGCATCTTTACTCAGGAGCATAATAGCAATACCACAAACACAAGTCTAATTATGCACGCCTCAGTAAATGTTTCTCCTATTTTTTTATCGGAGAGAGGACCGGCGGTGCCTTACTAATTAGGATGACCTTACTGTGCATTAAATGCTTTTGTGCACGTGTTCTTGAAAACTATCAATGACAATTTTTTATAATTTAGTTTTCTTAATTAAATTATTATTATTATTTATTCTCATTCGTTTAGTAGAGCTTTCGTTATTTCGTTTCTTTTACTGCGCTTTCCGTAAATCACGAACAGTTACTGTTTTCTGTCATTTAGACTCCAGATGTTTTTCTGCAACAAACCTCAGTATATCGCCGTTTAAAGTTGCTCCATTGCCTTTTGCTATGAAGGAACGCTCAATACGATCTATCAGAACGATTTACGGGCGGTGCTTTTGATGATGGCTATAATAACCTGGCGGAAGTAAAGCAGTATAGACTAGCCAACCTATTTTTAATAACAAAGGAAATTATCTACCTAAACGCTGTTGTTGACAGGCTGATTACTTCATTAATCACGCATGAACCTGGAAAGCTACTGCAATTATTACATTACACCTTTCGTCGATCTGTTTAATCCTTCCCTTTAAATTTTAATTGTCTCGAGCATTATTACATTAACATATTGAAAAACAAAGCAAGCTTGATCCTTCAACAATGGTGCGAGTGTTTCGTTCAGGACATTTCTACATAGCACATGGACAATGCTTATGACCGCTACTGCATAAAGTAGATCTCTTAGTATAGAGCAGAACGAGTTTAATCTCCTGTTTTATTTTTTTTGTCAACACAGAACTTCATATAAACGAATGACAAGCAGACAGACATCGAATATTCACGGTCGTATATGTACTCAGCTCACAGCGAAAAATTCGTTTCGGACTTTGGATCGTAGTTGGCAGTCCGGTCAGAAACTAAACCAGTGAATTAATTGTCCGCGCAAATTTGTTGTGAAATAGAAGTGTGGTAAAGGAAAATAACAAATGTCTTTCCAACGTACATATTTTTGTAAATTCCCACCGTCTACCGTTCGGAGTACGGGTACAAAACGACATAATCTGTCGTTGCATCTGGTATCAGGGAATAAACTTTTTATTACACTACTACATTTAAGGGTACCAATGATCGCATTAGACGCCCAATGACTACAGGGGGACCGAGACTAGTTACAAGTAACAAAATAATAAATTACAGTAAGAATCAAGACAAGTACGCCACCTCAAACGTAACTAAGCTATATATTCATTCCTTAGGAACTTAGTAAGCTTCGAGAAATTCCCAAACGTCCCCAGGGCATTGCAATTGACCCGTAACTTTCCGGTCCTTTTGCAGCTGTGGCGGTTCGGATGTATGAGTTTTCTATTGCCAGCATAGAGCCCATTCCTACGTGTTACTATTATCTTACGCACATGACTGTAGCACACAAGAATTAGACAAGTCTATCCGTAATGTCCTTCTACGGCACTGTAGGCGTCTTCGTTGTGATGCAATGTTAGCATGCTTGCCTACTAAACACTTCGTTTTTGCCGCGAGCCTACTACAAAGCTATTAACTCGGGCAGTATCGTACGTATTGCTCGAAACATTTGGTGCGTTCTAGTAAGTGAATTAAGAACGACACGTAAACATTGTAGATTTTACTTGGGCCGGGCTTAATTTACGTGCGTATAAATTACGCTGGGTCAGCAGGAATTATATGGCACCTATGTATATATAGGTATGTAATCAGTGGTAATTTAATTAGCGTAAAACATGCATATATCAAGAAACCTAAGCAGACAGCCTGCTTCATGTGGCATTCTTTTGAGGAACCGTGGGGGGGCCGAAACCTGGAACCGTAGTTCTTTTAATACTCATTGGAAAGGACGAATACGAACCGAAACAATCTTTGCATTCGTATACTTCAAAATACTTAAGTGTATATGTATATATATAAATATATATATATATACACACATGCATACATACAACGGTTTTCCTTGTAGCAATGCTAATTAAATCAAAGCTAGAAGAAACACGCAAGGGTAGGTAACTAACAAATTCTGTCTAAAGTAAAAGTAAAAATTTTCTCTAAAAAAAGTATAATTATAGAACAAGCGATGTTAGCCTGGTGTGCCAGGATCCCAAGTTACAGTACACGATATCGTTTTGTATAGGCAATTGAGAAATATGACGGAGCAAAACTAAGAAGATCTCATAGTACTCTATCATTTCTGTCGTTTTCTCGTGATGATTCCTCTGCATCCATCTACCTAACGAGCAGGCAAAGACGTCGGCCTTCTAAGCCGTTCCGTGGAACAGTAGCGAACGTCGAATCAACCCAGGTGTTTTTAACCCGTATATATTGCACGTAAAATGTCACGTCAATACAGACCACGGTTTATACACGATGCAAGATGACAATAATAATAGTCACGACTCCGCCATGCATCAGTTCGTAGTCCAGCTAAATATTGTTAAAACTTTTCACATCAGGGCAGTTATATACGTGGAAAATTAAGCCTGTTTACGAACGTGTGAGATTTTCACTCACGGAGGAGCAAAATGAAAAATTTCGTAAAAGACCTGAACAATCGACACGAAAAACTTATCATCTAAGTTTGAAGAACAAAAGAACAGTGCCTCTTGCTAATCTAGCAGACGAAATACCTAAATATTACTATGAAACATAACAGTAACTTAGAAACTAATATACATATCACATCGGAATATGTCGGCTTTTATATACCTGAGAATACTTAGTAGTAGAAGACATTTTCCAGTCTGGTGCCTCAGGATTAGTATTAACCTAGCATTAGCAAATAAGCAACTAGTTAGCTACCGTACCAAATCTAAAGAAAGACTCAAGCGACGCAGTCGCGCCGCAAATGGCGTTTCTCATCACGGCATAAGCCTCAAAAATGAGAATAAAGTCAGCCACACATAGCAAAGGGATCCATTTTACAGGTCGAACTTATCTAAATCCAATGTTTATTAGCTAAACATGGTAATCTAAATAAGTTCGACTCTGGGCGTACACACAGCCCGTTTCGTGCTGGTAGTCAACCACTTGAAGTAATGGCCAATGGTTCTAATATCAATCGTGAAGGGCGTAAAAAACAAATGATCTCGATGAGCGACTAGGAATAAAGCACTACGCCAAGCCAACAGTCGCACAGCAGAACTCACATAGTAACCTCAGAAAATATAGCATAAAGCTAGGCGTAGGAGTCGATATTGCCTGCAGTTGCACCAAATAAAGCACCTTAATTTGCCTAACAGCAGCATGCGTGAAATACTATAGAAACATTAGCTTCAAACGCTTTGTTACCCTGTATCACTTCACTTCTAGCACTTGAAATTAAAATCTATGCTATAGTAGAGAAAAATGCTTCCTGATAATTAAGGGAGCAGTCGCTCCATTTAGGGAGCCACGTTAACCTAAGCTATCTAGAGTTCCCTAATACTCACATGGCGAATTCAGTGTTGAGTTGGGCTGAAGCAGTGGGGCTTCGCTAGCTGTCGATGGGTTGTACGGCAATGGTAAACCGAACTGGTTCGAGGACGGTCGCGGCTGGCTTACAGATGGAAGTCGACCCAGATATGTCGGCTGTTGATAATTGGACTGTTGTGGTCGAGCAAACTGCGAGGACTGGTAACCTGCATAACCAGCGTGGAATGAGGACGGATTCTGGTTATTGACGTTGCGTGTATTTCCATAACCTCCTGCAGGATTTCCAGCGTTACCTCCGTCAAATATGCCACTACTACCTCCACCTAAATACTGGGGACGTTGGTTGTTGTTGTAGGGGGCTGGACGGGGCACCTGGCTGTTTTCGTTGTTGTGGTTGTACGTACTGTGGTAGTAATTTGGAGGTTGTGGATGATTGTGGTAGAACTGTAAGGATGAGGTTTGCCCCGGTGGCTGTCGGTATGTAGCAGGTCTGAACGAGAAACCATTACCATAAGGTGGGTGTAAGCTGAAGCCGCCGGAGTTGAAGCCAGGGTGGTAGCCAGGGTTATACGATGGTTGGTGATAGCCAAGAACCGGCTGTGGCGGTTGCTGCTGTTGCGGATAAAATGACGCTGGCGTTGGTGTGTAAAAGAAAGAATTTGCAAACGGATTTTGCTGAAAAAAGGTCTCGGGGAGATTTGGAAAGAACGGAGTCTGGAAACTAGATGGCCCATAACCATATGTTTTATGAGGACAGCAGACTAGTGGTCGTCGGTTGGAAAATCCGCAAAGGCTGCTTCGCGCAAAAAACTCATTTTCGAACGCTACATCGCATTCGGAGTAAGCAACGCACTGGCCCACCCCTCCCTGGAACGAGCGACAACCCTGCGAGCGGCTCGTACCAACGGGAACCCGCACGCGACCCTCAATCTCCTCTAGAGCCTGAACCGTTAAGTTATCGCCCCCGCTGCTGCCTCCGTTCGATGGGACAATCACGCCAGTTGCCAGGATGGCCTTTGCGGTTGATTGCACTTCATTTCCGGGTGTGCTTGTACCTGCAGGTACCGCTTCAAATTCTGAAATTGACCATAAGCACATTTCGACAAATTTAACGACGTGGCAACATCTTTGTGACACCATACACGTATACACGTAATTCACACGCAGACATTCCTGAATGCTAAAAGGCGAATCATAGCAACCACAAAAACTACACTCTTATATAATACAAGTTATTCGTAAGTATGCAGATTTGATTTTAAATCAGTAAATAAAAGTGGTCAAAAAAGCCACTCCGTTATTTGGCCTACAACTCCGTAGGACACTTACAATATGTTACTTCTTTAGCTATACAAAGTAATTTTACAAAGTAAGTTATACGAAGCTGAAATGTACTGATTGCGCTTTTATTCTTAGGACCCACAGCGAATGGTAGCGCACACGGTTAACGGAATTTCCTTTGTCGACTAAGATCTGGGTTTACGGTATTGACCTCACACGTTGCTATGACAGAAAGCAGTCTTAATGAAAATATTATTAGCTTATTCTATCTTATGTTTACCAAACTAGATATTGCAATTTTTTTTCCTATAAAATTTGAACCTAATCATCTGTAATCATTGACAATAATAACAATAATAATAATACTTGAGCACAAGTAAACTTAACAATAGTCAATGTTCTGTGCGAACGAGCTACAAATTAAACTCTTAATTACGTTGTGCATAGGCAGCACTAATGAAGGCTGTTTTTTTTTTTAGAAAAAAAAAAGTTGCGAACTCTAATGCTGATTTTTTTTTTATTCTTTTCTAATGACGACGATGTAACGAACGAAATAGTCAGTCTAGATATCAAATCATAATAACAATAGTAATAATTAAAATAATTTAATCTAGTTGACAATAATCAAGGGCTTGTTAGCAGCATCTCCTATCAATCAAAACAGGACATAAACATTTTTCAAAAAATTATTGTATTTTGTAAGCTTGAAAGTAGTTGCTCGTTAAATGTTTATTTAATCATCTTGACAAAGCGTATTGATAATTAGCACTAGTTAGTGAATATAAAATGGGATTGACTGCATTTCTGGTTTTTAATATTTAAAGCAAATGCTAAAACTGGCCGCCTAGGCCGTCGCGCTAATTGAGCTTGTTCCTATTGAATATTAATCGCACAGAAAATCGCGCATCCTAAAAGAAAGTATCAAATCAAACTAGCATCTATGGCCCTACTTCTAGACGTGCTAATTGGTATAAGCAGATTTTGCAGGAAAAATCTTAGCTCTTTTAGGCTATATCGACAAATACGAAAATCTGAAAGACCATTAATGGAAATATTTGCGACGTCAAATTAGTCAACGTGCGCAATGCAGCACCTAAATCCTGACATTTTCAAGAGCCTGGAGTGGAAGGACATTTACTTAAAGGTGAATGCAGACTATAACAAGGACGCACAAATGGAAACAACAATATCAATGGCAGTCTGATATTTGGGGGAGCGTGCACCATAAAAATCAGTGGAATCAGCATACAATTGTGTCTTATGCCGTCGACAGTGACCTTCCTTATAAAAGCATGACGAAATACCTTGTTTGCACCAAACAAGTTTACGCAAGGAGCGGGGGGCTTCGTTAGAACTTTAATATGAGGCGACAGTCACATTTGAGCAAAGAAAACGTAGGTATTGAGCGGACCGTTTTGTATATATATATATATATATATACAGTTCTATCTTCCACTTATGTTGCTGTCTTAGTTCCAGTAATAGGATTTTTTCATAGCTTCCATAGCACAAGGCCACAGAAATGAAGCAGCCTCGAATAGACACTCCGCGTAGCTCAGCGCGTTGTTAGTGTAATACATGAAAGGCAGGTGGTGCAGATCAAAAGGTCCTTTGAAACCCTCGCGCGACTTTAGCAGAAGTACTGTTACAATAGTCACAATGACATACACAATAGTATAAGCTATTTGTTTTTCCCCATATCCGAGACTATGCACTGACGCGGACGGTTTTACATACTAAGTAACGTTGTTTACGAAATTGTCACTTCGGAAGATGGGCGTCAGCGATCGTCCTTTCGCTTCACAGAGCTATTATGAGCCCGAGATAAATATTCCTAAAGTCTAAGAAACATTGAAAACAGAAATTAACACATTGTAGTATATTGTTTGTTCTAATCAAAATGCGCGTTTCTAATATCCATAACATAAGCAACTCTTGTAGCGTTCGGCTTTTGGTCCAATGTATGCTGGGAAGGGTATGGACCAGCAGATTTAATTTCAATTTGTTTTTGCGAAAAAAAAATACATATATA